ATGCAGCCATGTAGACAGAGTAACTTATGGGGAATACTGCATGCAGCTTTGTAGACAGCATAACTGATGAAGAATGCTGTATGCAGCCATGTATATAAAATAACTGATGGGGAATGGTGCATGCAGTCATATAGACAGAGTAACTGTTGAGGAATATCGCATGCAGCCATGCAGATGAAGTAACTCCTGAGGAATACTGCATGACTTTGATACTGAAAGATGTATCCTTCTCAAAGAATTAGGGCATAGAAGTTGTTGCTCTTGGGGTATTCTTACTATGATGTGAATATAGTGTTTGCTAGGTTTCATAATTCACTTCAAGTGTCTTTACATTAGTATAGCGTCTCATGAAAGGAAGGAAGGAGGTAAGGAAGAAGGAGAGAATTTATGGGAAATGTAAGTATTGTGTACAGATGCAATTGGATTTAGATTTTCCTGGTTGATGTTAACAGTAGAGATCCCCTTTACCTGTAATATATGAATGCTCCAGAGACAAGAGCTGTGTTTACCCTCTGAATCGCTGCTCCTAAGGATTCCCGGCAATATTGTCTTCTAAGGATTGTGTCTTTCTTGCGGCTGGGATGTGAGTATTCCAGGGACAGCTGTGTCCATGAAGTGACGTAAAGACCACTCCAGGTATCTAGTGTTCAGGTTACCTAGTGATTTTGTAGAACTGTAGCTGCCATTTCTTGGTGTGAGTCAGGGAGAGGCACAGCTTTGAGAGTTGTGTGGTATTCACTCTAGCCGGTAACCCAAGAGGACTTTAATTAAGCCTGATCTTTCCTGGAGAATGCCAAGTCAGCTCTGCCGCTCTCTCAAGTTTCACCTGTCGTCTCCTTTATCAGTGGTTTTCCTATTTGTTTTATATGGACGCAGAACATAAAAATGTCTGACTAGCTGGTGTTTCTGTTTAGTAATCCATTACCCAAACACACACACACACATACACATACATACACACACCATAATGACAGAATGTGTTCAGATTGTGTGAACCGGCATACCTAAATCAGGGTAAATTTCATTTGGAGGACATTAGTACAATTACATTTACATAGATCATCGAGGGTGGCACCTAATATCAGTATAAGTGACATTTGCAATGTAAGACAGAGAAACTCTGATTTTAGTCATCGTGTAGAAGAGGACGTCAGTCATTCTGCAGAGAGCAGCTGCTAACTAAAGTCCTTGTAACCCATGATACCCCATATAAAATCCCTTTATTTCATCAATTGCACATTATATCCAAACCACCTTTATTGTCAAATGGCTATGAAATTTTTGGGAGAGTGCTTTAAGTGTAACCTGTATTGAATTTACTGGTTTGTCCCTGTGACCAATTATCCTGACCATATGAGAAGGAGATACTGAAGGCTTTGGTGCCTTTGTGCTTCCAAGAAATGAGCAGAGAGTAGAAAAGCAAAAGCTCTGTGGGCTACAGCATGATGCTGGGAAAGGTGACTGTGCTGAAAGGAGGGCTGAGCTTTCATAGACCTATGTTCTAGACTAAATGTCTATTTCCAGTGTAATAAAAAGGTTTTCTCAATTACTGCTACTAGATTGCAATCAAATACATCTGTCACATGGGAATTCTTGTCATAGCAACATCTTAGCTTCGAAATCTCAGGGGACAATTGGGCATTGATCGCTAGCTTGGCCCTGAGGCTAAGTTTTAAACTCTTTGGGCGCCCAGTGCCTTAGCTGGGGTGGCCTCCGTGGTACAAATCGTTTAATTCTGTTTATAAAGCGTGAGTCCTATTTCTCAATTATTCCTTAACCAAAGATAAGGCCCTGTTTCAATTTAGTTATTGTTTCCGTGATAAAAGCAAAAACAAACCAAACAAAGCAAAACAATAATAATGATAATAAAAGTAATAATAATAATAATAATAATAATAAATCCTGTTACAACGCAAGGCAGGGCGAAGGTGCTCGTTATAATTCATAGTTCTAGATTATAGTTCATCATTGGGGGAATTCAGTGCAGGAACCTGAAACAACCAGTCACACCACAGTCAAATCAGGAGAGAGAGAGAGAGAGAGACAGAGAGGGGGGGAGAGATAGAAAGAGAGAGAATGCAGACATGCTCAGTGCTCAGCCACCTTTGTCTACTCTTACACAGCCCAGGACCCCGAGCCGGGCAATGGAACTTCCTAGGTCTGAGTCCTCCTACATCAGTTAAGGCAGTCAGGACAATCTTCCACAGCTTTGTCTACAGGCCAACCCGACCTAGGCAATCCCTTATTAACACCTTCTTCTCAGGCAACTCTAGATTTCAAGCCGACAATTCAAACTCACCACAGCAGACCTCTAAAGGCAAAATTCCCAGAAAGCTTCCTTTCCTCATGTAACCTCCATAACCCACCATTCCAGTGAGGCACAAAATGTAGTAGTGGGGGATGATATTGGGCTCTGAACTGTTTGCTGTCCATCCACATAACACCGAACAGAGAACTAACAAAGAAAACCCAAACTTTTGATCGCTTTTATTTCTATTACATTGAACAGTAAAATTTTGGGATTGTATTTTATGGCATCACTTCCAAATAATTGATTTTTATTGTAGTTTATAAATTAGTTGGTGCTTATGGCCTTAACCCTCCCTTGAAAAATGGGTTGCAATAATAAGCACACGGAAACTGGAAGAGAGACCATGTTTTTAAATCTTTGAATCAAAACTTATGTTTGGACTTGAAATTGATTTGCTAAGGTGGTAGGGATGATTATGGGCAAATATGATCCTGGAATTTAGGGATTCCTTCAGGGTAGGACAGGGCAAAGCCCATTGTATCTTCATGGCACTCCTTGGCCAAGGAGAAAAATAATGGTTTTTCTCTTCCCCAATGGTGTTTCCAGGCCCGAGAGGATACAGGGAACCAAGCGGCTTTCCCCTGAAGACGTGGAGTCCATGCGAGACATTCTGACAAGAAACATGTACCAAGTTCGACAAAGAGTAAGCATGGGCCCTCTGCGCTGCCCCCTGCCCTGCCCTGCCTTGCTCTGCTTCTGCCATTCTTCAGAAGCCTGGTTTTGTTCACAGTGTCCTCTCAAGCAGCTGGCCTGCTGGGTTTGGAGAACAGAGAGCTAGCTGTCAGCTGCCAGGTTGGCACCAGGGGCTTGAGAAGAAATGCAAATCCAGTTGCTGGCTCTAGGGGTCAGGCTGCCCCAGCCCTGTAGCCAGAGCTTTCAGAACCCACCGATCTCTCTGTCCTCCAAGGGAAGACAGATACAGCCATCCTCCTGTAGTGTACAGAAAAACATGGCACCAGGATCCTGTTGTCCCTCGAGATATCCAGTGGGGTCCACTATGATAAAAGTCAACAAACATCACTTATTGGATTAGAATCATGAAGCTACAATGCTGGAAGCCAGGTGCCTTGGTGCTTTGATCTGGATCCTTTCTTCATTAGAGTTTAGCAGAGGGATCTTCAGAGACTCTGAGTTAATGACAGTTAAACCAGCGTCATTCCTACAGAAGACTTTTCAAGTTCGATGACTCATTGGTCCATTCTATTTCTTGCTGTGATTAAGTATGTCTCTTGTGAGGATGTTTGGTTTGGGTATGCCAAAGATGATGCTTTGGATTAAGAAATCATCTAGTCAAAGCTATTTGTTTTCTAGTAAATGTTGGGGTTAGCAATCTCAATGGTTGGATTTATTCAAGGTGATACAGTGAATGTAAGTTAGGCGTTTCTGCTGAGCACCTAGCCAGTGTTCTTTCCAGCACTGTGGACTCACACAGCCAGTGAAGGTCAGTGCTCTCTGTGCTTCTGGGTCAGGAAGGATGACGATTAAGGAGCTTGTGTCAGAGAAAGAAAAGGCCGAAGAATATATAGCTCAGCTCTGTGTCAATATTCTCAGGGTAAATTTCAGTGACTTTCAAATCATTCCAAGTAAAACTGTTCTAGCAAGACTATCACATTTCACCTTTCCTATGTAAATAAGAACTTCCTGGTGGGAAGAATGGCTAGCTGAAGGAGAGCCAGGCCCACTGAGTACCTGGTACTAGATATTTTCCCCACCTTAAGGATACAGGGAAGGAGGCTGGAGCCCTGAAACTCTAATATGTTCTGAAATGATTCATTGCCCACATTCTCTTTCATTCCCTGACTGTAGACACACAGATAACCGTGGTCTTCTCTCATTTGGTCTTCGGCGTTCTCTCTTCTAAACTAGGTAACGTCACTCTTCCTTCCTGGTTTTTCCAAATTCGAGTACATCGGCCACTTTTCATTCATGGATTTATTGCGAAGTGTCAAGTGGAGTCAAATCAGAATAGGATCAATGGGCTGAGTGCAGTGATAGGCTGCGGGGACCTGGTCGCCTCTATGTTCAACTCATTGAAAATAGAATTCACCAGTCCCCGTTCCCTATTATTCTAGTTTGACAAACACTGTGACCAAAAGTAACTCCGAAAGAAAGGGTTTATTTGGTTTACATTTCCCACTGATAGCCCATCACTGAGGGATGTCAGGGCAAGAACTAAACCAAGCGGAGCAGGAACCATGGAGGAGCTTTGGTTCCTGGCTCACTTCCCCTGGCTTCCACAATTTGCTTTCTTATCTTTCTTATACCACCCAGAACCACCTGTTCAGGGATGGCATGGCCCACAGTGGGCTAGGTTCCTCCCACATCAGTCAGGAATCAAGAAAATGTCCACAAACCCTTGATTGCAGGCATTATAATAAATGCAATCCCTTTTTCCATATGGCTCCAATTTGGGTCAAGTTCACCAAAACCTGACAACACACCTGTTCGTCCACCCACCTCTAGCATTTGTAGGGTTGAGAAAGTCTTCTACTCTTTCAAAGGAAAATCTTTCCTGAAAATGTTACCCTGAGCAATTGAACACCCACTGCTTAAATAGTGAACAGTCGACAGTTTGAAGGATTGATGTAGAGCTTGTGTTGAAGTCATCTGTGGTCCTCAAGTCTGGACAAGAGGTGCAAGACAGATGGTTGGAGACATTTATCACTGCATGTTTTAATAGAGTTTGTCTTAGGGACTTAGCAGTCGCTTTGGGGCAGGGCATATGGTAAGATTCTAGGTGGATCCTAAGTTATAGTTGATATGAACCTGAGCTGGTCCCACTGGGACTCTGGACACATATTTTTAAAATACTTCCTCTTAGCATGTTGAGGATTGAATCTATATGGGCGGGGAGGTGAAGGACTAACTTCTGGAGGTTTCCAGTGGTACAAGCACAGAGGAAACTGCGACACAGTGGAATGGAGACAGAAAGGCACACCTTAAACTTACCATAGAACAAGCCTCAGCACAGGCCCTCTGTTGCTCTCCAAGTTTCTACGGACTTTCAAAGGAAGAGAGTAATATACTCTAATTCTGTTCTGTGTTGTTATAGCTTGCACACACCGAGCATGTGCACAGTCTAGGTACATAGTGAAGCCTTCTTTCTCCAGCAGAGCTCAAGGCTTAGTGAGAATGAACCAGCTTCATCCAGGCACTGATTCCTTCTAAAACGGACAGAAAGACAATAGCTTAGTACACTGTGTGTGTAGAAACTCCTGTGCTCTCTGCAGAAGGCCAAATTGACATGGACAACGGTTTATCAGGCAAAATAGTGCAAATTTTGCACTATTAAAGTAAAAAAGCTTTACTTAAAGTAAAGCTTCCTGATCTCGGATGTAGGAATATATATATTCCTACATATATATATATATATACATATATATATATATATAATGTATATTATATTAAATGTATTTTGTATTAAATGAATATTGTATTAAATGTAATCTGGGGTGTAGGAATATATAAGCTTATTAAATGTACTTAAGTTTGATCCATCTTTATAGAAGATGGACAAGAACCTCATGTCAAATTGTATTCACGGTTCTTCTCTCCCCTCCCCACAAATCGTCAGAGCAATGGGCTTGTCCAAAGTGGTGGATAAGGAGCTGCTAGGTGGAGCAGAGTCAGTGGGCTTTTCATTCTTCCTTTGACCTGAAAAGTTCCTTCTTGGTGGCTTCCTGTTTGAGGAATATTGATTTCATTGATAGAGAGTGAAAATCACCTATCGGCAACCTGGGTCCACATTCAGCAGAACACAGTAAAGTGAAGTCTAATGAAACACACAAAGTCACAGCCAGCTCTCTGTTAGGAATATTCTCTTCATTCAGGCAGGAAACTAACCATATCCCCTTGGGGCTCGGTAGGCACCTGGCTCATTATGAACTATATTATGTACCATAAAGCCTAATTTCTTTTGCTGTGTTTGATAAGAAACAAGAAAATGGAAGCATGTATGTCTACTTTCACTTCTTATCCCTAGGAATCGTCTCACCTTTCCTTGCTTATACTCACTGTCTTTGGATGCTGTGTTTCAGTCACACAATAGCAAACTCATTGATGGACCGTCTCCTGGGGTCCTCCCTACCTTCTCCTCAAATTGCTCAGTAGTTTCTGCCTTAGTTCTCGTGTCCCTTCCATCTGCATTTATCCCAGGAAAGTACCCGCTGGCTGCTGTCCGCTCACCTCAGTGAGCATGCACGCACTTGTGTGTAGAGAAATGAAAAGCAGAAACTTTGTGGGAATTCCAAAATTTACTTTTGATATTTTTCTTACCCATTAACTCTGATGGCCTAGAATATAAAAATGGCCCCAGGAAAGAACACATGTGTGCAGGGCAGCCACAGTTGGGGGAGGTCTCCCGTTGGGGTGCAGGTAGTGATACGCTCGCTGCAGGTATTTCTGAAGGCATTGTCCACAGCCACAGTTACGCCTGTGGAGAGCCTGCTTGCAGGCTTTCCTCACACAAGCCTTTCTCAGTCATGCTAGGGGCGAAGCTCTCCCAGGAGATCCGTCTACCTGCTCTAGAAGTCTCTGGATGCTTCTGGGGGCCCAGGTAGCACTGGAGTTCTTACCTGCCTATTATTACGCTCTTCCTGCAGACTCTGTCCTACAACAAATATAACCTCAAGCCCCAAACAAGTGAGAAGCAGGCCCAGGAGATTCTCATCCGCCGCCAGAACACCTTGAGAGAGAGCATGCGGAAAGGGCAGAGTCTGCCCTGGGGAAAGCCAGTATGTGTAAGTTGCCACCTAATAACTGGGACTGCCCTCGGGGCAGAGCCTCGTTAGTTGGGGGTAAATCACTGTTAATGCTTACTAAGTACTCAAACTTCACATGCTACCAGAGAGATGAAAAAGTCATAGGGGACAACGTACCAAAGCAGCCCCCGTCCCTGGATCCAGGACCTCGGGGCTTTGAGCATCTGTGAATGAAGTATGGTGGGGAGGTGCTTGCCAAGGTAGATCAGTGACATCAAGTGTTTCGTGAGCTGAGTCTACGTCCAGAACCCACATCTGAGGACTCCTCCTCAGACCAAAGCTTCTAGGCATCTCTCAGGATGTTGAGAAGCAGTATTTGCTAGTCTCCCAAGTCTCCTCCTCACATCACCAGTGAGCCCCAAACATCTTACTCACTGAGCATGTATCTTGTTCAACATATAGGGACTCCTGGAAGGAGAGCAGGTCTAGAACAGACTTTGAATCTAATCCTGAGCGAGGCTATGAGAGTAACTCTGGAAGGTTCACAAGGGTTCTTTCAACGAGAGAGAGAGAGAGAGAGAGAGAGAGAGAGAGAGAGAGAGAGAGAG